AGCTAAAAGTGCTCTTATATAATCAGTATCAGAGGCATAGTTACCAGATGATTTGTGTTAGGGTTCTATAGTTGAATCAAAAAGTCGACATTTCGATTTTTTCTATTTATGAAAGTCAAAATGTTTGCAATAAAAAAATTAAGTATTATTAAATTGTTGTTTTACTTTTTAGACTGATTTTGTTATTATATACGTTTGTAACAATAACTATGTCTATCTTTAGCAAAATACTGATTTTTTATTTTAAATGTCGAAATAGAAATCTAACTAATAGATTATAGTATTGAAAATTGATAATATTAAGCCTGGATTTAAGTTATATGTATCTAATATATGTAAATGTCCACTGTACACAAATTTTACACTCATAAACGATGCAATCTTGATAAAATTTCAAACAAGTTATTTTTAAATAGACATACTTTAATTAATCTATAAATAATCTATTTAGAACTACGGTATTAAGATCAAATTACACAAAAAAATTATTCTAATAAATTAATCACTGTGTATAAGCTCCATTAAAGATACTCTTACGAAAATCACACTTATATAAGGTATGCCCAATATTTTGAACAAAAAAATGTTTATGATAAGAATTAAAAATAAAAAGTTTTCGGCTCTCTGTTTATTACTTGCTTACATTATATACGTACGATTTAGAAACATAATAAAGTATTAATTAAACAAAGCAGAAATACCAAACTGCGTCGATGTACCGCGTTACGGTTCTTCGAAGTTTCATGCATTAACCACATGTATTTTTTTTTTGATAACCTAAAATTTTCTTTGATATATGGTGGAGTACCAAAAAAAACTCGCTTAAGATTTTGGTGGAGACCAGTAAACTCAGGAGCGGAGTTCGGGAGTTCCAGCTTCCTATACGAAGGTATAGGTCGGATTGGCAGTTTTTGGACGAGGCTCTTTTAGGCGTAAGCCGTATTGTTGTTGTTGCTGGGTTTGACAGCCCTTGGCCGAATAATTCGGGCATTTCGGTACGTAGACCGGTCAAAAAAAGGCCCATTCAGACAGATTTTAATATTTTCAATAGGCTTCGTCCTTGGCAAAAAAGCGTACGTGCCAAATTTCGTCAAATTATGCGACCTGTCCATGTAAAATGTATGCTTTACATAGACAGCCAGCCAGCTCCCCACTGAAATATATACATATGTATGTATGTATATAATAAAAATGTAACCAATTGCTAAGAAATTGTTCTTTTTTAGTAATCATTTATATCATATTGTTTAAGGGGGCTTTACACGAACACGCAAGTAATATGATCTGTCAAAATTTTGTGTAGAAGAGTACAGATGGGATCGTCTAAACGCAATATGTAATGAAACCATCACACATTGAGAAAAAATACGGATGGAAAATTTGACAGTCGTATGGCTTTTTTCATTTTTTGAAATGATTCAAAAAACAAGCAAGTCACATTAGATCCGAGATGTATTTTTATGTAAACACATGTTTCCATCTTACTTTGTTATTGTTTTACATCAATCGTGTAAACACAAAAATATAAGTCATACGACTTTTGTTCTCTTTTTTGTCATAGGGATGGAATTTCATTTTACTTTTTCATTAGACCTTACGTACGTAAAGTGTGATCGTCTAAAGGGCTCTTTATTGGTAGTATACACATACATATTGTTACGAAATTGTATTTGCATTTAAATTAAACGAATGTTTCTAAACAACATTTGTTTAGAAACATTCTATTTCCGGAAACTTCTATCTGTTAAAGTAACATTTGGTATGGCAACACTAAGTGTGAGTGCTTTTAAATAAACACAAGGTGATCATTATATAAGTAGAGCATTCAAGAATGTGACCGTTAAAACGATGCTAGAAGTGTCCGTAAGATGTCGCTAGAATATCCTGGAAATAGAAGATGATGACTAGGTATAAATAACGCCGGCAAGAAACCAAATGAGTCAGTCTGTTATAAAACGTCGTTAAGTAAAGTTAATAAAGTCAAGTGTGCTTTCGTGTGTCAAAGTCTACTATATAAGTTGTATTGTTATATAAAAGTGTTTGTGCACAAAACTGTGTAAATAAAGAGTTGTTGTCATTTTTTAACAAGTTGACGCTTTTATTTGCAATAAAAAGAATCCGGTTTATTTCAAAGGGAAATAAACGAACGTTTTAAAAGGTAAAACGTAACAATTGGTGTCAAAAGTGGGATTGCATAATAAAAAGCAGTCATGAAGTTTGAAGAATTGAAAGTGGAACAACTCAAGAGAGAATTGAGTAAGTTGGAGTTACCGACAGCCGGTAATAAGGCAAATAGATGAGTTCAAGAGGCGTGACATTGACATCGGTACTTACGAATTCGAGTACAAAGAAGAAACTGAGATATGTACTCGCTCAACAACGAGCAACATGGACTTAAACACAATGTTTGCCGCTATGATGGAGAAATTTTCCGAAGTTGCTGAAGTTCAAGAAACTTCTAAAGCAAACAACGAGAAACTTCTGGAATACAACGAGAAACTTCTTGCCAAAAACGAGAAAATTCTTGCCGAGTTTAAAGCTGAAGTTCAAGAAACTTCTAAAGTTAACTACGAGAAGCTTCTTGCTAAAATTGAAGAAACCCCTAAACTTTTAGCTGAAATGAAAGCAAAACTTCAGGAATCTTCTAAAGCCACAGATGAGAAAATTCATGAAATGTCTGAGGTTATTAACAGTAGAGTGGATGGCATTAACAAAAAGGTGGCCGATTTAGAAACAAACATTGATAAAAAAAATCTGCAGTGTCAAGAAGGAGCTGTACGAATTATTTCAGAAAACTCTAGTAGAATAAAGGCCCCTAGTTTCGATGGCACTAGAAACTTATGGAACAACGAAGAAAAAGCTATAGAGCTCATTTTGGCCTTAAAAGGAAATGCTGCTGTAGTTCTTGAGAGCGTACCAGCGAGCAACAGAAACAATTATGATAACATAATGGAGGCACTACAACGTAAGTACGGTGGTGAACATAAAAAGGAAATATACCGAATGGAATTGCGTGGTAGAGTGCAGAAGGCTAATGAGACTCTACAAGACTTTGCATTGGAAATCGAGCGTTTGCTACAGCTTATTTATCCAGGGGAAACCATACGTTTTTGGACCATTGGAAGATAGAGGCATTTCTGAATGGTATTCGCGATCCTGAAATAAAATATGCGGTTTGTACCACACCGAAGTCATCATTCGCTGAAACAGTCTCATTTGCGCTGGCACAGGAAACGGCGAAAATAATTTCAAATGCAGTGTACGGAAACTCGAGGTTGTCACTGAAAATGAGAGAAATATAGTCACTGAGATAAAAGAGGCAGTTTTAGAGGCTTTAAATAAGAAGCGAAATAGAGCAAAATGCTATAACTGCGGTAGGATCGGTCATATTCTGCGAAACTGCGAAGCACCAAGAAAACGAACCAGACCTGTTTCACCACCAGGAGGCAACCAGAGCCACCCAAGGAACAAGTTAGCACTGCGGGACATGATCTGGCCTCCACACCCGACATCCCCACAATCTCCATATCAGTAATGCAGCATAGCAATCTCACTGCTAGTGGTTACATCAACGGACGGAAGCACATCTTTACTATTGACACAAGAGCGTCAATGTCTATTATCAGATCCGATTTGGTGAGTAAACCGATTGAACCATTATGCGGTGTGGGCTTGCGGACCGCTACTGGAGAGCCCGCCACATTGCATGAACAACAGCTTGTGGGTGGTAGAATCAGCAGATGTGAAAAGTGACCATATTGCGATGGAGGTCCCCGTTCAACCGTGCAACCGTGTCTTTCAAACCACAGAATTACTGGAAAGTTCAAAAATTGGACGACTTGGTCTATAGGATACGGAAATGTGGAAGACTGTGAAATTGTGCCTATTCGGGACGAACAGGCTTAAGCGGGACAGTGTTACGAAATTGTATTTGCATTTAAATTAAACGGTAACTTAACGGCCAGTTTCTAGATTCATTATGAATGTTTCTAAACAACATTTGTTTAGAAACATTCTATTTCCGGAAACTTCTATCTGTTAAAATAACATTTGGTATGGCAACACTAAGTGTGAGTGCTTTTAAATAAGCACAAGGTGATCATTATATAAGTAGAGCATTCAAGAATGTGACCGTTAAAACGATGCTAGAAGTGTCCAGAAGATGTCGCTAGAACATCCTGGAAATAGAAGATGATGACTAGGTATAAATAACGCCGGCAAGAAACCAAATGAGTCAGACTGTTATAAAACGTCGTTAAGTAAAGTTAATAAAGTCAAGTGTGCTTTCGTGTGTCAAAGTCTACTATATAAGTTCCCAGTAAACAATTTTTTCAGACATGTCTGATGTCAGAAATTTTCTGAAATAATTCTTATACTTTATCAGAAGTTTTAACGAATTTCTAAATTTTCTTTTAGACATTTTACAGAATAATCGGCAAACTGTTTGTTAGACTTTTCTGCACATTTTCTGAAGTATTAAACGATTAACATCAGACTTGTCTGCATATTTTTTTTTTTTTTTAATTTTTTTGACAGGAATCCATTGTTATGGTGTTGTAAGGAAGACCCATCATAAAATGTTTTATATAAAAAATAACTAAAACTCAAAATATTAAAATTTTTCTTCCAAATTTAACCCTTTTTTAGCATTTCCTTTTTTAATGAATAAGTAAAAAAATTCACGTCCTACATTTTTTCTAATATTTTTTCTGGACTTAGACGGCATAAAGAAAGATATCAATATAGGTTTTATATCATGAGCAAAATCGTTGTAAACTAGTGTTATAGTAAAAAATTGTTTTCCAATTTACTAAAGCAGTTATATGTATATACATTTTATTCTTATTAAATTAAAATAAATTATTACAATAACTTATACATCTAGAAATGCATTTTTATTAAATTATATTTTTTACATATTATGTTTGCATTATTTATATTATGACAGGGAGGACATAGCTTTCGCTAAACAAACTCTAAAATCACAATATAACATTTTACCGCTTATAGGTACACGACTTAATTACATGTCCAAACTCATTAAACATAAGGCCTTTCCGTTGATTGGAAATTTGTGTGTCAATTCTGAAGTAACTTCCAGTCCCTCCGAAACTGCCATAGAAATAAGCCACTTCTGCACATCAGTTCTTGTCCAGTCGCGTGGATCTAAAGGCAGATGATCATCATAGTTTGACATACCACTCAGAATGTCAGTACTTGTAAAGTTTGTATTTTTGGCAGGTGTCTTTGCATATTATAATATTGCTTTCGATGTAGGTCATAGTATGGATGATTATTGTTGCAATTTCTTCTTAAATGATGAGCTGGTAATGTAATAAATTTTGTCTTTGAAGACCACATCTCATCTAAATCTGAATCTGTCGAGCAAATCGAATTAACCTCTGACAAATCCAAAGGTGGCACTCGGCCTGCATATTTTGAATATAAAGATTCAACTTCCATCTTGTTTGGAGAAATATTGTCAGATCGTTGGAACAAAACTGCGATTAAATTAGAAAAACAAATAAATATTAAAAAATTATAATTATGTATGTACATAAAATAAACTATACTCAAAAAATTGTCTTGCAAATTTTTACATTCCTCTATTAGTTTGTGAAACTAATCGAGGATAAATTTTAATAATATTTTTAAATTTTTTAGTTTTAAGATTAGGATTATTTAAATACTTTTTATTTTTAAAATTAAATAATGTAACTGAAGAATCCTAATTCAATAATCAGATATTATTATTCACATGTTAGCTAAAAAATCATAACACCTTGCAACTATGGACCATTAGTATTAAATCTGTGTATACAGTTTTAATCATCGGGATTAAAAAATAAATGGAAGTTTATAGAAATTTTGTTACAAAAAAATAGTTAAAAATTTATATGAAAAAAATTATATCTAATAAAGCTGAGAATCTCTGTTTCAAAATAACGTTATTTATTTCAATTCATCGGGATTAAAAAATAAATGGAAGCTTAAAGAAAATTTGTTACAAAAAATAGTTAAAAATTTTTGTTTGGAAAAATTTTGTTTAGGACCGTAAAGTTTAAAGGATATACATACGATTTCAATATAAAACAAGTAAGAAGTCTATATTCGCCTTTGCCGAATCTTATATACCCTTCACCATAATGTGTTTAAAAAATATTAATTTTATAAAATGTCTATTTATTTCATATTCCCGACCCTGTCATAACTTAAGCAAAACAAGAGAAACAACAACAATGCTAAACGAAATAAAAAACATAAAAAACAAAATACACAACGTAATGAAACCACAGCCATCCAAACATTCGAAACAATATACACAAAAAAACAAAAACAAAGTACACAAGTAAGAGTGTTATATTCGGCTATGCCGAATCTTATATACCCACCATCAAACCTCGTTTGACTCGAATGAAACTTACTTATGTTGAATTTCATCTATATATTCGTATTTTTAGGCCAGTTATAAGCGTTAAAGTAATTTTCTGAAGGGGACCTTATATAGGGGGGTAGGGTCAATTATGGGTCGATCCTCATAAAATTTGGTAGACAGAATTTGGTTCGTATAAAATTTATTTGTGTCGAATTTCATCGCTATAGTCGTATTTTTAAGTCATTAATGAGCGTTGCAGTCATTTTCTGAAGGGGACCTTATATGGGGGGTAGGGTCAATCATGGACCGATCAACATAAAATTTTTTAGATAGATTTTGACTCGTATGAAACTTACTTATGTCGAATTTCATCTATATACTAGAATTTTTAAGCCAGTAATGAGCGTTAAAGTAATTTTCTGAAGGGGACCTTATATGGGGGGTAGGGTCAATTATGGACCGATCCTCATAAAATTTTGCATAGTGATTTTGGATCATAAGAAACTTACTTATGTCGAATTTCATCTATATATTCGTATTTTTAAACAAGTTATGGCTGTTAAAGCTGCTTTTCGAGGGGCCACTTGTATGGGGGCTATCCGAAAACGTGGACCTATATTGCCCATTTTCAATACCAAACAAACCTTACCTATAAGAAATATTTATGTGAAATTTCAAATTTCGGACTCTATCGTGCTTTCAACAGACAGACAGACAGACGGACGGACGGACAGACATGGCTAGATCGTCTTAGAATTTAATGAGGACCCAGAATATATATACTTTTGTGGATCTATGACCAATATTTCGATGTGTTACAAACGGAATGACAAAATCAATATACCCCCCCATCTTTTTTGATGGTGGGTATAACAAGGTGATGAAACCACAGCCATCCAAACATATAAAACGAAATACATACACAAAAAAAACAAAATACACATCGCAATGAAACCAACCTTTTATACAATAAGCAGTGTTAATGTTGCTTTTTTGATGAAATTTTCAGAGGTTGTCTCGGATTTTTGCTCATATCTCCGTTATTTATGGACCGATTTTGCTGATTTTCAATAGGAAACTTCTCGAAAGTATGTCCAACAGAATTATTGAAGATTTGGATCCTAAAGATATCTGGGGTCTTCAGAAAATTGATTTCAACAAACACACAGACAGACAGACGGACATAGCTTAATCGACTCCGCTATTTATAAGGACTCGGAATATATATACTTTATAGGGTCGGAAAATTATATTGTAGAAATTACAAACGGAATGACAAACTTATATATACCCTTCTCACGAAGGTGAAGGGTACAAAAATATTTAAAAATTTTTGTTAGGAAAATTAGACTTTTAAATTAAATTTATTTTAAGATTTATTCTCCAAGTGGGTATAATAAATAATGTAGAAAGAATTCACAGTGGGTTCGATGGCACCTAAAGTGGCGATTAATCCGGGGAGCGGCAAAAAGTAAAAATACATTAAAAGGCATCTTTTTGAAAAAAAATTATAGTAAATTTTTTATACCTTATACCACTTTAGTTTGTGGGTTTGTGCTGATGTTTGTAACGCACAATATATTGGTCCTATACCCACCTTAAAGTATACCAATCTGCCTAGAATCATTTTCTGAGTCGATTTAGCTATGTCCGTCTGTCTGTCCGTCCATGTAAACCTTGTACATAGTTTGATTACTACAGGTCACATTTTTGAAGATACATATTAATTGAAATTTGGTACATGATCTTCTATTATCTCAGTGACGAATCCTATTGAAATTGTTATTTTTATAACTGGTGTAGGGTATTACATATATGGTCGGCCACGCCCGACTATAACTTCTTACTTGTTATTTATGTATATCGTCCCTGTTTTGAATTTTAGTACTATGTAGAATTTTTCGCAATTTGAAATTTGTACCTCTAATGGTTGTACTTTTGTGCACAAAAGCATTTATCGATATCTTAATTGGTTTAGGATTTAGCAAGAAGTCCTATGTGTTTCAAATTATATTGATTTAAATTATAACACCACCATAATATTATTTTATTCACACTAGTTAATCTGACACCGTAAATAATGGATCCTCACTCACCTTTTGGTGCACTGATCAACTTAAAATCACTCTTTGGAGTGATCAAATCTTGTCCGTCCTTCCGTTAATATTTTTATAGGAACTTTTTAGTTAAAGCACTTGCGGTACTTATATGAAAAAACGAAGTAGGCCATATTTAGCATTCCGATTTTTATGAAATTTGGTGGGAGTAAATTAAGTTCACAAAATTAAATTTCAAATTGAAAGTGAAATTGCAACTTCTAGACATTTCAATATAAAAACTATTTTCCAAAAAGTCCTATGTGGAGTTTTTTTGAATTGCGCTAAAGCGCGTTAAAAATTCAGTTATTTTTCAAAATACGTATTAATTATATTAGTTAACGAATCCGCGAAGAGACATATTTTTCTAAAGCATCGCCATATATCAAAAAAACAGCTAAATTAAAGTGTTTTTTTGTTATTCTGAAAACGTTGTTAAAATCCACATAGTACTAATATTCAAAACAGGGACGATTTCTGTATACAAAAGTAACATTTATTCCAAATTTTGTATAAATATCTTAAATAGGTAATGAGTTATGACCGTTTAAGTGATTTTCGGGAGGGGACCTTGTATGGGAGCTATGACCAAATATGGACCGATCGGAAAACAATTTTACAGTAACATTTTTGTTTATAAAACCAATACATGCGCCAAATTTTGTATCGATATCTTGATTAAGTAATGAGTTATGAGCGTTTAAGTGATTTTCGGGAGGGGACCTTGTATGGGAGCTATAACTAAAAATGGACCGATCGAAAAATTGTTTTCTTTGTATGAATGTTTTCTTTGTATGAATTCTATTTACATAAACCTTAAATTTGTAAATTTTTTTTGAAGATATCGACATTCTAACGGAAGTTATTAACAATAAACACATTTTCCGGGAATATGTACATTTGTATGGGAGGTATATGATATTATGAACTGATTCCGCCAATTTTCAACAGGTGTCAAGCTTTTAGGGAGAAACAAAAGTGTGCTGATTTTTATGGAATTATATTGCACAGTTTTTGTGAAAATTACATTAGAAAGTGTAAAAAAGATAAATTTTTTCCGAGTTTTTTTTAAATTTTGATTCATAACTTTTCCCGATGTAAACCGATTTTGCTCGCTTTCAATACCAAACTGCCTAGGGCAATGGTGAATTTGTTGGCCAAATTTCTTTAATTAACTTAGCTTCGTTTTTACGTGAGCGTATTTTATACTGACAGACAGACGGACGGACATAGCTAAATCGACTCAGTATTTGATAAGGACCCAGAATATATATATTTTGTTGGGTCTCAGATGAATATTTCTTGGTGTTACACACGGAATGACAAAGTTATATATACCCTCTATCACCACTGATGGTGGCGGAGGGTATAAAAAATACAATTAAATTTTTTATCAAAATTAGATTTAGATTTCCAATTAGTTGACGCAATTAATTTCTAACATTCCACGTCCCAAACGTCCCAGATAAACATCAGCCCACGCCGACCGGAATATAAAACGATTCTCTAAAATGGTCTCAAAGGAATCATCCACGGGCATCCAACGATAAATTTGAGAAAAATTGGATATAACATTATCTCAGCGAACTATTTTGCGATGTTTTGTGAAATCGGCGCATCATGGGAGACCATCACGCAAGGAGCATTTTCCAAGTAAAATTCAAAGAATTTGCCATATCACATTGGACCTTCTATCACACCTTATACCATTTATCATACCTTGTATATTCGGGTTTAATGCGGTTAATCCTTATTTCAAGGCTCCAAAGTAAAATATTCCACTGAATAGCCGTGTAATTCCAATAAGATCAGGCAAATTCAACACGTTTCATTTGCAAGAGATATTGCAAATTCTTTGAACTTTATGATGTCCGGATTCCACCAAACATCGCAAAACTGTTCGTATAGACAACGTTGCATAAATTTTTTCTTAAATTTATAGTTGGATGTCGGTAGATGATTCCTTTAGGTGGGTTTTAGATATAGTATTATCATCCGGTCGGTATGGGCTGGTGATTTTTGTTTTTTG